TTGGGACATTAAAATTAAGTGATTATAGACAGGATGTGATTATAAACAGGGTGATTATAGACAGGTCTGACTGTATATGCTTATATAAATAATGAATTAAGAACCTTTGTAAAGAAAATTAATATTATAATTATTGAAAAAGTGTCTATGGTCTCTGACTGAACTTTTAAACTTTATTTTGAACATATTTGCCAACCTTTATGAAAATGCTCTTGCTTTTAGTGGTCTGAATATCATAGTGATTAAAAATCTAGCATAATTTCTACTAATCAATGATCAACAGATATTTCATGTAGCTATCTGGCCTTTGTTCTACCTATTATTCTTAAGAACTCTACATTATCAAAGTCAAGATAAAGAATTTTACTCTATGTTAGAAGATATCTGAATAGGAAATATTTCTGACAAAACTTGAGCCAGATTATATAGCAATATTTAGAATTCTTACTTTATCTGCTTACTGATACTCTGCTTAATATTATACATATTATTAGATTTAAAAAATATGCTCATCAGATCAATAGAATGATATGCAATCTCCTTTCAATTATTATGAATAAATTCATAATCTCATAGGTTGTAGACATTATAAATACTATATAATAGAAACTTTCACTATTAAATCTCATATTTAAACTAAAAACAAACCTTTCACATTTATTCGCTTACAACTAAATGCATGAGTAATATATTTAAATAATTCTCTCATTCAACATGGCATAGTAATGGTACAATAAATATGATAATTAATGTCTGTCCTTTTGAAAAATATGCTCAGATTGTTTTCTCTATTAGAGGCTCAATTATTGACATTGATACTGACATTTATAAGTATACCTATTATTTTGAAATTAATGAAAACAATTGCCATTGTATCCAATTTCTCCTTCAAAATTACTTTGCTTTGACTGTTTATAAGATCCAAGGCTTAACTTTACCAAGAGTATCTTTAGTTTTAGATAGTAACATCTTCTTATCTGGTTAAACTTATATTACTTTAAATTGATGTTTTACTTGAAATAATGTTAAAATCTCTTATCTAGACAGGTCTGCCTTCATATCAAATCAAGATGTCATGTTAGAATACCAAAGATTATCAAACATTTCTAATATAAACCCTCATTTATTTACATAAATATTTATATTTACTTTCTTTTTAACCTATATATTTCTTATATTCTTAAAATTCAATTCAATTTTTAAAAAAAAATTTCAATTGTATTTTTCAAAAAAATTTTATTTAATATACTTTAAAATTTTTATATTGTTTGTTAAATAAGATAAATAAAATACTTCAAATTTTATAAATCTTATTGATAAAAAATTATCAATATAACTATCTGTTATACTAATCGTATAGTAAATCAATGCATTTGATCAGTGATCATATGTATTTTTTTTCACTATATATCAGATTAATATCCAGTAAGTATTGAATAATAAGTATAATATTATAACATAAAATTAATTAACTTATAACGGTTTTACATCAAAAAAAAAAAATTTGATAATTTAAATTATAATTATTAATAAAAATGGTAAAGATATATTTTTTATAAGATTTATATATAATATTTTAGATTATAAACATATTATTAAAAAAATCCTAATGCAATTTATAAAAGTTAAAAAAAAATTAAAAAAAAATTTGATCAATATTTGTTGTATTATTCATACATTTTTGAATTTTTTAAATTTTTTTTAGAAGTCAAATGATTCTATTTTATTCCTTTAACTAAATCCAGTTTAACAAAAATGAATCATCTGATTACAAGTCTTTAAAAATAAATCATTAGATAACAATGAACTAACATCACTTTCGATTCCATCTAATCAAAATCATTACTAGAATCTAATAAGAGATCGCAATATTCATTAATACAATAAGGCTTGATATATCACAAATCTTGTTATATTTTCTTATAACCTATAAATTAAAACTATTCAATGATATCTTGAATACATTACTTACATCCTTTAACTCGTTTTCCATTTTCAATAATAATAAGGCATAAAGAAATACTTTAACTTATAGAAAACTTTTACAAATATATTTCTTCAAAAGCGTATTCTCTATAACCATTTTATAATATTACGACTATTTCTCGATACTAATTTATTTTTGACTTGTATCTCAAGAACTCTATAATAATAATAAAAATAAAAAAAAAGGCAGAATATTAATTCTTAATACTTGTATAGTATCGTTCCGAATAGTTTAAAATAATTACCTGCATTAAACAGAGAATTTCTTGCATCTTGTGAAATAATTCTCACTTTTCTTGCAGTAAATTCGACAGCTTCCTTGCAAATAGATCAATATTTTCAAGCTGAGATTTCAAAATAATAAAGGTATTCATGAGTATACCGGTTCAACATTCGTCAAAGCAATCAAAACGAATCTAGAATTTGGTAAAGCTGTCCATTCCAAAATATTACTAAAATACAATACTTTTTTTTTTGGTGATAATTGAAATTCATTACAAAAAAATAAAAAAAAAAAAGATAGAATAATGTCGCGTTAATAAATGAATGTTAAGAACGATATACCATTAAAAAAAAAAATTTACTAACATTAAAACTCGTTGATCTTTATCATAAAATATAAGATTCTGCGTCTTTATAAGAAATTAGATCACCAATTAAACCCTCCCAATAAGACACTATATATACTTTATCGTGAGGCTTAACTTCCATTCCATTAATTTCAACGAATTCAAAAGAATTCAATTCCTATTTTGATTAAACAAAATCAATTCAACTGATTTAACAAGTTTCCTAACGAAAAAAAATAAACTCACCGGTTTAAAATCTTTTCAGTACAAGGTTGACCATATATAAAAATACGACATCCTTTGAATTCATCAATTGTTCTTTAATTTTATCATAAATTTGACCATATTGTTTTTCATAAGGAAACTTTCAAGTATTAATTTCTCTCTTGCAATATCATTTCTTGATAAAGGTTTACTTGTAGGTTTAATCCGATTATTAATATTTGATGATAAACAACCTGACACTTTCCTATTTCACGTGTTTAAAGAGTTATTATATATAATATAATGATAGATAGAAAGCAAAAATCTACCTTATGGAAGATGATGTAACAATTTGTATAAGAGCTTGTAAATCCGGTATTTTGTTCTTTTTAGCACGGTAACATCATACGTTTTGGCATCAATGTCTTCAGTACATGCGTTTTTGGTATAATATCTTCAACTCATTTTATGTTCTTATACGCTTTGAAGCGTTAAGTGTAGCGTCTGATTTCATTTGACCACTGCTTATAAGTTAATTTCTTATTATCAAAAAAAAAAAAAACACGCATAAGCATATTAGGAGACGATTGCAATTAAAACCGTAATACAATTTGTCCTTACTTGTGAAAAAAAATCAACCAGAAAAGTGTGTTTCATCCGGGATTAATGATTACCAGAATTTCTTTTTTGAGAATTCTAGATGATATTAATTCATTCTAAAAAAGAAAAAAAAGTAAGTATAGTACGGTACGTCAAGAAATGTACTAATAAATAAAGTTGAAAATGTAGTTTAATGCAACGCTTGCTATTAGGCCCCTGAATGGGAACACAAGACGTCCGCATGAAAAGATGCTAGGTCAAGTTTCTTTGACTGTTTGGGAAAGGTTTCTCCTACAGAATCAACAGTCCCCAAATAGGGTATTAAAAGGAACCCTTTTCTAAACATTGAACATACGCTTATTGACAAGCCGCAGGCTTTCCCGTAACGTTGTACGGTATTCAACAAAGTGCTATTGATACATCTCCATAACGCATTATAAGGTTTCTTTAACACGTACCTTTAAGTTCGGATTATGAAGTTTGGTTTTGCTTTCGCGTCGTTTTGAACGAACGAATTATTGAGGTCCTTGATAATTTTCGGGGTAGGAAGGTCTTTGGCTGATTTCCCAATAGTGGCAGCACAA